ATAGGCTAAAAAAAAGAAAAAAAAAATCTCAAGAGCAGTGATAACGCGCCCCCCGCCCCGAGCGCCACTGACCAGGGCTGGGGCAGCAGACGCCCTCCACGGTGCTGTCGTCGGCGAAGCAGGAGTACCCCTGAGGGCACTCAAGGGCACGGGCACGGGGGCTGCAGGCCAGGGTGGCGTTTGTCTCCGGCAGGGTGTAGGGCTCTCCCAGGGGGCACGCAGGGGCAGCCGACGCCTCCACCACGGGCACGCACTGGGGTATGGCGGGGCAGACGCCGTCCACGCAGGGGATGTCCACCATCTGGCACACGTGGCTGCCGCTGCACTCCACGTCCTGGGGGAGGGAGGGAGGGGGGGGGAGGCGTGGGGTTAGCTGTTGTTATTACTATTCGATGTTTAAAAGTTCCTTTTTTAGAAGAGGAGGTGCAAAATAATAGAGATAAAAAATATATAGATATATATTCAGTCAACGCAATAAATTGAAACACAGCAATTCAAACACAAAATGACAGTAACAAAAGACAACAAAAATATCAGTCAATCTAAAAAAATAAAGACAAAATAGAGACAAAGCAAGTCACCTGGCACGGATCGCGACACTGGCAGAGTGGACAGGCCGTGTCCTTATCCAAGATGAAGCCGTAGTCGCAGCCAAGGCGACACAGCATCTCGCCGCAAGTCAGAGCCTCTCGAACGCGGTCGCACACTACGAGCTCGCGGGATGATGCCCTGGAGGGGGGAGGGGGGGAGGAGAAAGGTGGAGGGGGAGATAGGGAGATGGGGAAGGGGAGGGGGAGAGGTGGAGGGTGAAATAGGGAGATGGGGAGAGGGTAGAGAGATGGGTAGGGAGGGAGATGGGGAAGAGGAGGGGGAAGGAGATAGGGAACGGAGAAATGGGGAGATGGGAGAGAGGAAAAGAGGAAGCGGGGAGGAAAATTTGGGGAGAAGATGGGAAGAGCAGAGGACGCGAGGAAGAGAGGGAAATAGAGTAACAACGATAAAGATATGAGAAAAAAGAAATAGCAAGGAAAAAAAAAAGAAGAGGAGACGGGAGATAAGGAAATAGGAATATAGAAAGGAGGGAAAAGAGGGAAGGAGAGAGAAAAACATAATAATTATAGACGATTTCCAGAGAAGAAATTCAACAATATTTTATGATCTTGAGTGCTTGCTTGCGTGTTCTAGCGATTCTTACAACCTTTCCTTTTCCTTTTATTTATTAAGAATGGGAGAGATAGAAAGATGATAAAAGAAAAATATCAGATATTATAAACTTGTGTCTGGAGATGCAGTGACTGACTTGAACTTGTTGCTTGGATTTTAATGTGTATTCGAAAATAAGCAAAATATTTACATGTAAATAAAATCAATACCCTTCATAAAAAAAGAAAAAAATATATATATATCAGAGCTTGACTTAACTTGCTTTTGAAAATATCAAATAAAATACCGAACCATTTTTTTCTTTTTAATTCCCTAAAAAATATCAAAACTAATATATATATATCTATCTCTTCCAAACCTATCTTTATTAATATAAACCCCATATACATATATCTCTTCCAAACCTATCTTTACTAATATAAACCCCATATACATATATCTCTTTCAAACCTATCTTTACTAATATAAAACCCATATATACATATATCTCTTTCAGACCTATCTTTACTCCATCCTCACTCCATCCTTACTTTGTGCCAGGGATCTGAGTTCCGAAATCGTCGACGCACCAGCACTGGCCGAGGGCGTTACACTGCACCTGTTCGTAGGCTCCGTTCTCGTCACAGGTGGGCGTGGGGACAGCCAAGGTCACGCCCTCGAGCTCAACCAAGTCGCGTAGGTATTCACACACTGGTGGGGGGGAGGGGGGGAGGAAGAAGAGGGTGAGGGGGTAATTAATAAATAAGGGAGGGAGAGGGAAAGAAAGAGGGAAAGAGGGAGATAGGGAGATAGGGAGATAGGGAGAGGAGGAGGAGGAGGAGGAGGAGGAGGAGGAGGAGGAGGAGGAGGAGGAGGAGGAGGAGGAAGAGGAAGAGGAGGAGGAGGAGAAGAAGAAAAAGAAGAAAAAGAGAAAAAAGAAGAAAAAGAAGAAAAAGAAGAAAAAGAAGAAAAAGAAGAAGAAGCAGGAGGAGGAGGAGCAGGAGGAAGGAGGGAAGAGGAATAGGAGAAGAAATAGGGAGAGTAAAGAACGAGGGATAGAAAGATGACGAAGACGAGTAAGAAGAAAAGGAAGAGGAAGAGGAATAAATGAAGGAAAAAGGAAGAGAGAGATGAATATGAGGAGGAAAAGGGAAAGAAGATGGAGGAGAAGAAAGGCAAAGGGCGAAAAGTACGAATAGAAAAAAGGAAGAGGAGAAAGATGAGGAGGGAAAAAGGAAGAGAAAAAAATTGTTGTTGATTTATGAAGTTTTTTCTTAAGCGTTATGTTTCAGTTAATTAATTTCAGTTTATAATTAGTTAGACTTTAATTAGACTTTGTAAGGTTACGGTATCTAATGAAGGAAACAATTGTGACCCCATTACAAAAGCTGTAGGTACAAGGGTGCACACACACACACACACACACACACACACACACACACACACACACACACACACACACATATATGTGTGTGTGTGTGTGTGTGTGTGTGTGTGTGTGTGTGTGTGTGTGTGTGTGTGTGTGTGTGTGTGTGCGTGTGTGTGTGCGTGTCTGTACGCGAATGCCCGTGCCTGTAAGGTCGCAACCCCAACCATGAACCCCCCCATCACTCACTGGTGGGTCCCTGCAGGAGTCCGCTTTCGAGGGTGAGGTTCTGCGGCGGCTGCGGCGTGACGCACCTCGGGCCGCATGCGGGGACGACGCAGCACTTGGTGACGGAGCCGCACTCGTCGTCGGAGGCGCAGCGCGGACCCTCGCACAGCTCGGCGCTTGCGGACGCCACGAACGGACACTGGCCGGGCTTGCTGGCCTCTGGGGGGGGAGGGTGTGTAAGAAGAACGATAAAGGAAGGAGATAGGAACAAAGGGGACGTTAATAAACAAATGAAGAATGCAAGTAAATACGAAAGAAATACCTTACTAAATACTACTTTATTAAATAATGATAATAATAATAAAAATAATAACGATAACAAGGAATCTAATAAAATGATCTTCCAAAAGTAAAGAGGAAAACAATGAAGACGAAGGAAGACTGACAAAAAAAGGAGACAGAGAGAAAGAGAGAAAAAAAACAAAAACTTACCGATAATGGTGGGGACGGGGCAGCAAGTGTAGGGCGCGCCGGCGGTGGGCGGGGGCGTGCACTGGTGATCAGCTGGGCACGGGGCATGGGCGTCGCACTCCACCACCACGCCGCCCACGGTGAAGGGTGTGAGGCCGGTGGGGCAGGTGGGCGGTGTGGGCGTGGTGGGGGGGACAGGGAGATCATCCGAGTCGTTGGTCAGACCTGGGGGGGGGGGGGAAGGGAGTTAGTATGGAAAGAGGAGAGGGGAGGAAGAGAGGAGAAAGGAGGGGAAGAGAAGGCGTGGGAAGGGGAGGGGAGGAGAAGGAGGGAAAGGAGGGGAAAGGAAGGGAAAGAAGGAGAAGGGGAAGGGGAAGAGGGGAGGGAAAGGGGAAGAGGGGAGGGAAAGGGGAAGAGAGGAGGAGAGAACAAAGGAGGGGAGGAGAGAGAAAGAAAAGAGAGCGGAGGCAGGGAGAGAGAAAGGAGAGAGGGGAAGGGCGGGGAAGCAGACGGAAAGGGGGAGATGGAAGAAAAGAGGATAATAAATATGAGAGAGGAGGAGAGACAGGGAAATGGCAATTGAAGAGGACATATGGACGGGGGAGAAGCGTAAACAAAGGAAAAGAAAAGAAGAATAAGAAAAGTTGGTATTTGGAAAAGGAGAAAGGAGAGAGATAAAAGAGACGAAAAAAGAGATAGGCGATATTTAGAGGGGAATAGAGGGGGGGGGGACGGATGTTAATTACTCTAACAATCTAACATTGAAAGGAAGAATAGCTCGTTATACCTTTTCAAACTATACATTTCGCTCGTTGATTCTGCCAACTAATCAGCTTGCGTTTGTTAGATAACCCGTTTCCATGTATTTCTATGATAAACAGTAAAAAAAAATAAATGTTTTTACTATAAACAAGAGAAAAAAGGTAGAAAAAACACAAACAATAAGAACTAAAAAAAAAGAGAATCATCTATACATACATACATAGTATGTATGTATGTATATATATATATATATATATATATATATATATATATATATATATATATATATATATACATACTAACTAGTACACAAGAAAAGGCCCCCTAAGCCATCCACCAACACAAAACAAACAAACAAACAAATACATACCCCCTACTCGCCCCCCTCCCCCCAAAAAAAAGAAAAAAAAAGAAAAGAAAAAAAAAAAAACCCCGAGGCACCAGCACCTCCCCCGCACTCACACATGGGCGTGGCGGAGCAGGCGTCGCCCTCGCAGCCGGGGTCCTTCCTCATGACGCAGGTGGAGTTCTCGGGGCACGTGAGCTCCTGGCAAGGGTCGTCGCACTCGCAGGTGGGGCATCCGTCGGCGCCCAGCTGGTAGCCGTACTCGCAGATGGTGGAACAGAGCACTTCGGAGCCGCAGGAGTGGCGGGCTTGGGCACCAGCTGGAGGGGGGGAGAGAGAGAAAGAGAGGGGGTTAGATTGGGGGGGGGGAGAAAAGGAGGGGGGTTAGATTGGGGGGAGAGAAAGGGAGGGGGAGGGGGTGGGGGAAGAGGAAGAGGAGGGGGAAGAGAAGGGGGGGAGAGGGGGAAGAGGAAGAGGAGGGGAGAGGGTGAAGAGGAAGAAGAGAGAGGGGAAGAGGGAAGAGGAGGGGGGAGAGGAGGAAGAGGAGGGGGGAGAGGAGGAAGAGGAGGGGGAGAGGGGATTAAATAGGGGTTAGGGGAAGAGGAAAGGGGGGGTTGGAGGGGGTTATGAGGGTGGACGGGTGAGTAAGGGTGACCAAGTGTGAATAAATGTGAGTGAATGTGGGTGAATGTGGGTGAATGTGGGTGGGTGAGTGAGGGTGAGTGAGGGTGAGTGAGGGTGAGTGAGGGTGAGTGAGGGTGAGTGAGTGAGTGAGTAAGTGAGGGTGAGACAGTTGGATGTGATTCGACTGTCGAATAATTCTGTACTTTTTTCATTTTCCTTATATTCTTCTTTTTATTAATTGCTCTCTCTTCACCTTTCCTTCCCTTCTCCTTCTCCTTTGCAATCCTACGACTTCAACTTCCTTCTAAACCCTCTTTCTTGCATATTTCTCCATTTCCATTTTCCACCCTCCTCCTCTCTCAACATTTATTCTCTGTCTCCTCGCTTTCTTCCTCTCTTTCTATGTCATCTTTCCTCTTACTCCTCTCTCTCTCTCTCTCTCTCTCTCTCTCTCTCTCTCTCTCTCTCTCTCTCTCTCTCTCTCTCTCTCTCTCTCTCTCTCTCCCTCCTCTTCCTCTCTCTTCTCTCTCTCCCTCTCTCTCTCTCTCTCTCTCTCTCTCTCTCTCTCTCTCTCTCTCTCTCTCTCTCTCTCCCTGTCCCCTTCTTTATTCACTCTTCTCTTATCCCATCCCTTTCTTACCAATCAATATTCCCTTTTCTCCTTATTTCCCTCTTTCTCTCTCTCCCATTTCCCTAATTTCCTACCTTCTCTCTCCCTCCCTCCTCCCTCCCTCCTTTCCTCCCTTCCTCCTCTCCTCCCTCCCTCCTCCCCTTCCTCCCTCCTCCCCTCCCTTCCTCCTCTCCTTCCCTCCCTCCTTCCCTCTTCCTCCCTCCTCCTCCTCCTCCTCCTCCTCCTCCTCCTCTCCGCTTTATCACCAACTTTTCCTCCCCATGTTAAAACCTCCCCCCCCCCCCCGCCCCCCCGTATTCCTAACTGCTCGGACGCATGACAGAAAACTCGGGCACCCGCGCTGCATGACGGGGCAATCCGAGTGCATGACCGAAGGGAAACATCAAAGCAGAGGCTACAGGGCACGGAAGCAGGGAGGAGGAATAACCGAAAGAAAGAAAGGAAGGAAGGAAGGAAGGAAGAAAGGAAGAAAGGGAGGAAGAAAGGAAGAAAGGGAGGAAGAAAGGAAGGAAGGAAGAAAGGAAGGAAGAAAGGAAGAAAGGGAGGAAGAAAGGAAGAAAGGGAGGAAGAAAGGAAGAAAGGGAGGAAGAAAGGAAGAAAGGGAGGAAGAAAGAAAGGATTGAAGAAAGAAAGGAAGAAAGAAAGAAAGAAATGAAAGAAAGGAAGAAAGAAAGTAAGAAAGAAAGGAAGAAATATATATACATGTAGATAGCGAAGATAAAAAAAAATGAAAAAAGAAAAAAAAATAAATAACGATTCTTTGGGAAATATTGTTTTACGAAAGTGGTAGATGGAGGGTACAGAAGAAACTGAGGGAATAGGGAGGAAGGCAAGGAAGGAGGAATAAAAGCAAAAAGAAAGAAAGAGAGAGAGAAATATATAGAGAGATATAGCAATTCTTGGTGAAAGGCTGTTTTACGAAAGCGGTAGATGGAGGATACAGAATAAATGGAGGGAATGAGGAGGAAAGCAAGGAAAGGTAGGAATAAAAAAATAAAAAAAAGAGAGATAGCAATTCATAGTGAAAGTTTGTCTTACGAAAATAGTAGACGGAGAACACAGAATAAATTAAGAGAATAAGGAGGAAAGTAAGGATAGATTAAAAGGGGTGTAATGGAAGAGGCGAGACTGAGAGGGGAAAAAAGGGGGAGAGGGGAAAAAAGGGGGAGAGGGGAAAAAAGGGGGAGAGGGGAAAAAGGGGGAGAGGGGAGATTATAGGATGCGACGGAGAAACAAACACAGGGAATGGATATAGAGAGGAAATAGTGTAAAAAAAAGAGAAACAGAGAGAGAGAGAGAGAGAGAGAGAGAGAGAGAGAGAGAGAGAGAGAGAGAGAGAGAGAGAGAGAGAGAGAGAGAGAGAGAGAGAGAGACAGAGAGAGAAAATAGAGAGAGCGAAAGAAATAGACAGATAGATAGAAAGAGAGAGAAAAAAAAGAAAGAAAAATCAGAAGTCGACATCCCTAATGAGAAGATATTTGGATAACCGACGCAAGCAGAAATATTAAAAAAAAGGAATAAACGTAATAATAAGAAAAAAAATGGACATAACTCCTCCGTTATGCATATTTAATTTTCTTCTGAGATCAAATATTCAGCATCTGAAATTGCTCTTCAATTTTAGATTACGAGAAACCTCAGCTAGCTTCATCTCAAACATATAAAAAATGAAAGAAAAAAACAAACAAACAAACAAACTTGAAAAATATATATATATGCCAACGGACTTTAACAGTTATAAAATGAATCACTAAGAGAGAGTATTAGATAGATAAACAACAAGAGTAAACATGATACGAAATTTACAAAAAGGAAAATATATGAGGTTCAGAGAAAGAGAGAGAGAGAGAGATAGATAGATAGATAGAGAGAGAGAGAGAGATAGAAGAGAGAGAGAGAGAGAGAGAGAGAGAGAGAGAGAGAGAGAGAGAGAGAGAGAGAGATAGAGCTAGATAGATAGAGAGAGAGAGAGAGAGATAGAGATAGATAGAAAGAGAGAGAGAGAGAGAGAGAGAGAGAGAGAGAGAGAGAGAGAGAGAGAGAGAGAGAGAGAGAGAGAGAGAGAGAAAGAGAGATAGAGAGAGATCAGAATTGGAAATGGGGATGCTGGTGATGATTTTAATATGATGGTGGCGTTGATAGTGTCATGATGGAAATGATAATGATGGTGGTGGTTAAGGTGTTGGTGGTGGCTATGATGATGATGATGATGATGATGATGATGATGATGATGATGGTGGTGGTGGTGGTGATGATGATGATGATGATGATGGTGAAGGTGATGGTGATGATGATGACGATGATAACAATAAAACAACAACAATAATAATAATACCAAATATGATAATAAGAACAACAACAACATCAACAACAAATATAATAGTTACAAAAAAATATGCAATACTTCAAAAACAAAAACAACAACAAACGAAATATCAACCCCAATTAAAACCCCAACCAAAATAAAACACACACACACAGCCATTCACCTATACACCAACATCAACACGCTAGATCACCATTAACCCTTTCTCTGCGTTTGCCTGGTCAGTTCTTTTCCCTTCATGAAGTCCTTAAGGAGTTTGGGAATCAAATATTCCTTTTATTTACCCACGAGGGAGAGAGATGAGGGGAGAGAGTTGAGGGGACAGGGATAGGGGAGAGAGAGGAGAGAGATGAGGGGACAGGGATAGGGGAGAGAGAGGAGAGAGAGGAGAGGGATAAGGGGAGAGAGATGAGGGGACAGGGATAGGGGAGAGAGAGGAGAGGGAGGAGAGGGATGAAGGAAGGAAAGAGAGAGAGAGAGAGAGGGAGTGAGTGAAATTAGGGGGCAGGAAAAGGGGAGAGGAAAGAGGGAAAGGGAGAGACGGGAGAGGAGGAGGAGGGAAGGAGAGGGAGAGTGATTAGGGGGAAGGAAAAGGGGAGAGGGAAGAGGGGAGAGGGAGAGAAGAAGAAGGAAAGGAGAGGAGAGGAGAAGGGGAGACTGGGAGGAAGTGATGGGGAGGAATGGAGATCGAGAGGTTGGGGGAGGAGGGAAAATGAGGGGAAAAGTGTAGAGAGGAATGAGAGAAAGGGGGAAGGGGAGAGTGTGAAGGATGCAAGTGAAGGGGAGAAGGGAGGAAGGGGAAGAAACGGCTGTAGGGACGGGGAGGGGGAAGGGAAGTGGGGAATGGAGAGAGGAGAGAGAGGAGAGAGATGAAGAGGGAAGAAGAGGGGAGATAAGGGGGAAAGGTGAGAAGAAAAAAGAAACAAGGGCAGGGGAGAAAAGCTAAAGACAAGATATCTCATTAAGCTCCCCCTCTCTCTCTCCCCTCAGCCTCCCTCTAATTAGTCCACCTGTGTGTGGGGGGGAGGAGGGAGGGGGGGAGGGAGGGGAAGCAGGGTGGCATATTCAAACCTGATCCCGACCGTTTCCTTCCATTTCTTCTTCTTTCTTCTCGTATCTCTCTCTCTTGTTTTTTTCTCTCTACCTTCTCCTCTCTCTCTCTTTCTGCTTTCTACTCTTCTTTCGCTCTCTCTTCTTTCTCCTCTGTTCTGTCTGTCTCTCTTCTTTCTACTCTAATCTCTCTCTCTTCTTTCTACTCTAATCTCTCTCTCTTCTTTCTACTCTAATCTCTCTCTTTTTCTTCTTTTTTTCTTCTTTCTCTCTCAATTTCTCTCTCTCTCTCTCTCTCTCTCTCTCTCTCTCTCTCTCTCTCTCTCTCTCTCTCTCTCTCTCTCTCTCATAACATAACCCCCAACCCCACCTTATCCCTCTCCTCCTCCCTATTAAACATCCCTCCTTTTCCTTCCTTCCCCCATCCGTTATCGACGAAGGAGACAACCTCCCCTCCCCTCCCACAGCCCCCCCCCCCCCTCTCCCCCCTTCCGATTCAGGCTGGCCGAGCTCTTTGTGCCAGGCTGATTTGAAAGTTAAATATGACTGAGAACATCTGGCCCTGTCTGCTCAGCTACAAGGATGCATGGACAGATGTAAACACATACATACATACATACATGCATACATACATGCATACATACATACGTACGTACACGGATACGCACACGATCGTGTATACGGTGAGATACGTGTATATGTGTGTAGGTATGTGTGTTTCTGTGTTTGTTTGTTTGTTTGTGTGTGTGTGTGAATAAATACTTACATAAATACATACATACATAAAATAGACACACACAAACACATTCGTAAGTGTGTGTGTGGTTTGTGTGTGTGTGTGTGTGTGTGTGTGTGTGTGTGTGTGTGTGTGTGTGTGTGTGTGTGTGTGTGTGTGTGTGTGTGTGTGTGTGTTTCTAAAAAAAAAATTATATATACACATATATATGTATACATACATACATACATACATACATATTATATATATATATATATATAATATATATATATATATATATATATATATATATATATATATATATATATATATATATATATATATATATATACATATCCGCAATATCCGCGATATCCCTTAATCCCGGATATAACCATGGATGGAGGCGATAAACTGAGATACAGATTAAGCTAGGGAGGGAGAGAAAGAGACAAGAGGGGAGAGAAGGGGAACGAGGGATGTACACACACACACACACACACACACACACACACACACACACACACACACACACACACACACACACACACACACACACACACACACACGCACGCACGCACAGACACAGGCACAGGTACACATCCAAAATAAACACACACATACACACAGACAGAAAATCACAAAGACAGACAGAACAACACAAACACACAAGAGAGAGAGACAAAAAGAAGAGGGGGAAAAATATCCAAACAAAAAACAGACAAAGAGAAAGAAAGAAGGAAAGAAAGAAGGAAAGAAAGAAGGAGAGGAGAGCCAATCAAATCCAAATTTCGAGCGAAGTGCCATCCGTCTGACCGCCGGAGTGACGAGGCGGCGCGCGAAATCCAAAATGGCTTCCTATTTTCCCCTTGATGGTTTGTCATTAGCGGACGCAGCTCTGGTGGTCAGTTGTCCCTCTCTCGCTCTCGCTCTGTCTCTGTCTCTCTCGCTCTCTCTCTCTCTCTCTCTCTCTCTCTCTCGCTCTCGCTCTCGCTCTCTCTCTATCTCTCGCTTTCTCTCTCTCTCTCTCTCTCTCTCTCTCTCTCTCTCTCTCTCTCTCTCTCTCTCTCTGTCTCTCTCTCTTTTTTCTCTCTTTCTCGCTCTCTCTCTTTTTCTCCATCTTTCTCTCTCTCTCTCTTTCTCTTTATTCTCTTACTTTGCTTCCCCATTTCATTTATCCTGGTCTTATCTATCTCTTCTCCTTAGACTTTCAATTGAATTTTCACTAGTTTTATTCTCTCTTTCTTCCTTTACCATTTTCCTTTCTTTTGCTTGTGTTACTCTCGTTCTCTTCCCTTTCCCTTCTCCTTTATATTACTTTCCATGTTCCCCTCTCTTCCTCACCTCATCTTTTGCTCGTTTTCTTCCCTTTCCCTAATCTTCATTTCGCTTCCTTTCTTTTCTCTCCTCTTCTCTCTTCTTAGCTCATAATCTTCTTTTCCCTCAATTTCCTCTTTTCCCCTCTTCGTCCCTTGTTTTCTCTGTTCTTCCCTTTCCTGTCTCGTTCCTCGCCCCTTTCACCTATTCTCTTCTCTTCTCTTCTCTTTTCTTCTCTCCCTCCCTCAGACTTTCCTTCTGTCCCTCCCCTTCTTTCCTTCCCTAATTCCCTTCTCCTCCCCTATCTATCTTTCTTCCCCTCCCTTCCACTTCTTCCACATCACCTTTCCCTTCCCTATATCTCCTTTCCCCTCCTCCCTTCCTGTATTCGCTTTCCCTTTTCTTCCTCTCTCCTCCTCTCTTTCTCCCTCTCTATCTCTCTCCTCGTTCTATATTTCCCCTCCATCCTCCTTCTCTATCTCTCCTCCCTCCCCATCTCCTTCCCTCTCTATGCCGCCGCTTCTCCCCCCTCCCTCCCCGTCCCCTCCCTTCCCTATCTACCTTTCTATCTCGCCTCTCCCCTATCCTTCCCTTCCTCTCCCCTCCCCTCTCTTCCCCATCTCCCTCTCTATCCCGTCTCCTCCCCTTAAGCCTTCTACCTCCCTTCCTCTCCCTCCCTCTTCTCCCTTCTTCTCCCTACCCTTCCCTCCCTCCCTCTCTTATCTCCCTTCTTCTCCCTACCCTTCCCTTCCTTCCTCCCTCATCTCCCCTCCTCTCCCTACCCTTCCCTCCCTCCCTCTCTTATCTCCCCTCTTCTCCCTACCCTTCCCTTCCTTCCTCCCTCATCTCCCCTCCTCTCCCTACCCTTCCCTCCCTCCCTTCCTCATCTCCCCTCTTCTCCCCTCGAACAACGCCCACGGCTAAAAGGGGCGACCGATGCCTAACCGCCAGCCCATAACGCCAATATTGCAACGGCCGCTTTTCAAAACGCGATGGAACTTCGGACGTGTCGTAGGTGGGCGTGGGTTGGGGGGGGGGGGGAGGCAAGGGAGGGGAGGGGAAGAGGGAGGAGGCAGGGGAGGGGAAGAGGGAGGAGGCAGGGGAAGGAAGGAGGGAAGAGGCAAGGTAGGGAAGGATGGAGGAAGCAGAGGAGGGGAGGAGACAGGGGAGTGGATAAAGCAGGGGAGGGAGGGGGGAAGGGGAGGATAGGGTCGCAGGGAGGAGAGTGTACGGAAAAGGGGGAGGAATAGGGGATGAGATGAAGGGGAGGGGGGAGGGGGGAGGGGGTTTTGCTCATAACAGGTGGACAGTTCGCGTTCCCGACCATAAAAGCTTGCCATACCCACGCTGCCGTTACCGTAACAATGTGTATATATATAGGCCTGCTTGGGTAATTTGAGTTGCTTTTTGCATCTATGTTGACGTAAGAGTAGTAGTATTTTTTTTTATTGATTTTCTGTCCAATAATATTTTTTTTTATGACTGTTAGCTGAATTTTACTGCTTTGTCTGAAGTTCTATTATTATCCCCTTTAATAAACAATAGCGCCTTTATGGAATAATGACAGGCTCTCATCACAAACCATTAACCTCAAGACAACCAAAAAGACCCCCTTCCCCAAAAAAAACAAAAAGGAAATAAATAAATCAAATCAAAATGAAAACAAAACAACCAACAATGCCCCCACCCCCCCATAAAAAAATAATAACAACAATAATAATAAAAAAATAATAATAATAATAATAACAATAACAATAATAATGATAATAATAATAATAATAATAATAACAATAATAATAGTAACAACAAAACAACAACAACAACAATAATAATAAAAATAAAAAAAATCCCCGCCACCGACCTTGAGCCTTGTCGCAGTCGACCTCGTGGGCGGCGGCGAAGGTGCGCGGCAGCTTGTTTCCCTCGGGGTCGACGCACCAGCAGATGAGGCCGTTCCGCGAGCACTGGCGGGGCGTGTACAGGCCGTTCTCCTCGTGGCACTGGGGCACGTAGCCCTTGCCCTCGCGCTCCGTCACCACCAGGAGCTCGGCGATCATACGTTGTTGGAGGCATGCTGGTGGGGGGGAAGGGGAGAGAGAGAAGGGGGATGGGGGAAGGGGGTGGGTGGAGGGAGAGGGTATGGGAGGGTAAGGGAGAGAGAAGGGGGAGGGGGGTGGGTATGGGAGAGAGGGAGGGAGGGTAATGGAAAGAGAGGGAGAGAAGGAAGGAAGGGTAAAATTGTTAGGATCATTTTCCGTATCAAATAACTTGCTAAGAAGACACACACACACAAAAAAAGCATCAACAAAATTATAACAATAACAACAACAGTACCCACAAACACCCCACGACCCGCACCCACCTGTGAGGTTCGCCGGCTGGACGCAGTGCTGGCCGCAGATCTCGGAGATGCAGCACTTCTGCGTGGACGGGCACTGGAGGTCGTGCAGACAGGACGCCCCGCAGCGCATTTCCTCCTCCTCGCCGCCCACGCCCACCACGACGGAGCCGCTGCCCTCCACGGGGCACTGGCCGGGCTTCTGCAGCTCGTCCACGGCGGCGCAGCAGACGCCGTAGTCATGTCCTGTTGAAGGGGGGGGGATGTTATATCAAGAGGATGATGATGATGTATAGGCTTTGTGTGTGTGTGTGTGTGTGTGTGTGTGGAAGGGAGAGGAAGGGAGGAGGGAGGAAGAGAGAGGGAGAGTGGGAGAGATAAGAGAGAGAGGAAGAGAGAGAGACAGAGAGAGAGAGAGAGAGAGAGAGAGAGAGAGAGAAGAGAGACAGAGAGAGACAGAGAAGAGGAGAGAGAGAGACAGAGAGACAGAGAGAGAGACAGAGAGAAGAGAGAGAGAGACAGAGGAGACAGAGAGAGAGACAGAGAGAGAGAGAGAGAGAGAGAGAGAGAGAGAGAGAGAGAGAGAGAGAGAGAGGAGTGAGAGGACAGAGAGAGAGAGAGAGAGAGAGAGAGAGAGAGAGAGAGAGAGAGAGAGAGAGAGAGAGAGAGAGAGAGAGAGAGAGAGAGAGAGAGAGAGACCGACAGCTAGAGAGTGAGACAGACTGACAGACATATATCGAGAGAAACAAACAGAAAGACTGAGAAACAGAGAGAACACACACACACACACAGAACATAAATAACGCAAGAGGAATAACCGACACAAGCACAAAAAACGGAAGCTGAGAGGAAGAGCAAGCGAGCGGGGAAGCCTTCCTGCCTTAATACATGCGGCAGTTAGTAAACAAGAAGAATGAGCGAGTTCCCCCTTGCAATAAAACGAAAACGGAGGAGGAGGAGGAGGAGTTAAAGGAACGTTAGTGTTTGAGAAGTCCGTGAAAAATTTTAATTAGAGGATGCAATTCATAAATACTTTTTTTTTCTTTTTTTTTTTAGCATCTTTCGCCCTCTAACTCTCTCTTGCGCGCACACGCATGCAAAAGCACGCACGCACGCACGCACGTAAGTAAATACGCACACACGCACACACGCTTCTTTGTTCGTCTGTCTATCTGTCTGTCTGTCTCTCTTTGCCTATCCATCTGTACGTCTGTTTCTCTCTTTCTCATTTCCATTCCCTCCTTATCTTTCTCCCTTCTCAATTATATGCTTCATTACTTCCTTTCCGTCTCCAGATGAAACAAGAAAAACAAGCAAAGAGGGAGAGGGAGAAGAGAGGGAGATGGAGAGGGGGAAGGGGGAGGGAGAAGGAGAAGGAGAAGGAGAGAGAACAGGGTAGGAAAAAGGAGAATGAAAGAGATAAGGGGAGAGAGAGAGAGAGAGAGAGAGAGAGAGAGAGAGAGAGAGAGAGAGAGAGAGAGAGAGAGAGAGAGAGAGAGAGAGAGAGAGAGAAAGATAGATATATATAGAGAGAAAGAGAGAGAGAGAGAGAGAGAGGGGGGGGACTAAGGATAGACTTAATGGGGGGGGGGGAAGAGGAGGAGGAGGATAGAAAAAAAATCCCGTCTTTTTCTTTTCTTATCAAGGATAGACTAACGAACATGTTTTGCTCTTGTTTTGTGTGCAAATTCTTGCAACTTGTGTTTATATTTCTTCTTTTTCATCGTCATTTTTTTTAAACCTTCGCTTTTCTACTCCCGGTTTTGCAGGTAAACAATCAAAAGAAAGAGGCTCGAATGTCCTTAGCAAGAAGAAAAAAAAAACTGAGAAAAATACGATAAAAAAAGAAAAAAAAAGACGAAAAGCAAAAGAAAAATAACGAAAAGCAAAAACAAAATTAAAGAAAATGTAAAAAAAGGAACGAAAAAAAAAACGAAAAAAAGGAAAAACAAGTGAAAAAATAAATGGAAAAAGACAAGAAAAGGAAATAAAATAAAATAAAAAACGAAAAAAGACACTTTTTTTCAACGGGAGTGAATGAAAAAAACAACAACTTGGCCTTGTGGGCTGTTTGTCTTCTCTTTTTCCATTTTTTCTACCCCTTTTTTCTCTCTCCTTTACGTGTATTCCAATTTCTTCTTTTTTGTGTTTCTTTGTTCTCTGTTCTCTGTTCTCTATTCATTCTTTCTTATCTATCATCCTGCTTGTGAGCGTTTATATTTTTTATTACTCTTTCTCTCTTTGTCTATCTCTCACTCTGTGTCTGTTTCTCTTTTTCTCTCTGTGCCTATTCTCGATTTCTGTCTGCCTGTCTCTCTTTGCTTCTCTGTCTATCTCTCTTTGTCTCTTTGTTTCCTTGTGCCTCTCACTCTCACTCACTCTCTCTCTCTCTCTCTCTCTCTCTCATTCTCTCTCTCTCTCTCTCTCTCTCTCTCTCTCCCTCTCTTTCTCATAACATAACCCCCACCTATTTGCTTTACACTTAATCCCCACACAACATTCTAGGACAACAAATAAAAGAAAAAGAAAAAGAAAAAAAAAAAAGAAAAAAAAAATCCATGGATAAATCCGCTCCTTGGATATTGGATCGTCTTGGCCACGTGCGAATCCAGGCACCGGGTTGGATTAGTATTAAACGGATGTGGTTTCTATTGGTCTCTGTGCTTCCGTTCCTCGATATTCGTCTAATTTATCGATCTGGCTATCTATCTGTCTATTTGATCGTTTGGGATTTGATTATTGTGTATTTTTTATTTTGTTTGGTGTACATTTTTATCTATTTTTTAAAATCCATTTCAAATGTCATATTCTTAATCTTTAGTCTATTAACTCTTCCATCCATCCATCTATCTATCACACTTATTAATGCATTTTATTCATTTATCTATCACTATCATTATCATCATCATCATCATTATCATCATCATCATCATTATCATTATCATCAACATCATCATTTTCATAACTATTATCATCATCATTTTCATCATTATCATTATCACCATCTTCATCATTATCATTATCATCATCTTCATCATTATCGTTATCAACATCTTCATCATTATCATTATCACCATCTTCATCATTTTCATTAACATTATCATTATCAACATCTTCATCATTATCATTATCACCATCTTCATCATTATCATCATCCTCATCCTCACTATCATTATCATCATCATCTTCATCATGATCATTATCCTCCTCCTCATCATTTCATCACAAAAAAACCCACGAATTCACTTTACCTCTTTACTTTGCGAGATACATAATTCATCCATCTTTCGGGCGTACCTAATTTGCATACCGTATTATGTCCTTTCCGGCTTAATCAGTGTAATCTATTAACAAATAAATTAACATGAGTGATAATTCTACGTTACCCCCCCCCCCACACACACACACAATAAAAATGGAGAGAATGAGGGAGGGAGGCAGGATGGGAGGGAGAGAGAGAGAGAATGAGGGTGAGAGAGAGAGAGAGAGAGAGAGAGAGAGAGAGAGAGAGAGAGAGAGAGAGAGAGAGAGAGAGAGAGAGAGAGAGAGAGAGAGAGAGAGAGAGAGAGAGAGCGACAAAGAGAAAAAGAGAGACAACGAGTGAGAGAGAGAGAGAGAGAGAGAGAGAGAGAGAGAGAGAGAGAGAGAGAGAGAGAGAGAGAGAGAGAGAAGGAGAAAGAGAAAGAGAGAGAGAAAGAGAGAGACACAGACAAAGGCAGCGAAAGAGAGGGAACAAGAGAGACAGACAGACAGACAAAACAAACAGATACACACCAGAACACACAAGTAAACAAACCAGAACGAAGGAAGTCACATGAATTCATCCCACACATTAGTATACTCATTTGAAAGTACTAACTGTATTCCCTTGACAAGGAATGTCCGCAAGAATAAAAAAAGAAAATAAAAAAACCCGCATGCAAAATACTTTCACGAATACATTTAATTGCATAATCCACGTGAATCGGACAAGCAAAAGATAGACGGCCCGGGAGAGCGTGGCGAGAAAAGTGAGAGTGAGAAATGATATGTATTTTGTCACCGGGGGACGGAATGAGAGACGGAGGGTAATGATAAATTAGGAAGGAAAACAGAATGAGGGAAATAGATGTGTGAGGTGAGTAAGTGAAGAAACATTATATCTGTCTGTGTTTGTGTCTGTCTGTGTCTTTGTCTCTCTCTC